TATTTATCATAATAAAGGGAGGGTAAATGGTGCCTCAGAGAACATTTTTGTAATAGGAATTCAGGAAGAGGAAGGTTTTTGAAAATTATTTGAGTCAACCCCCATTTCTTTAACAAAGAAAAGTAATTCACAGGTTTCCCAATCTAAGTCGTCTTACACAGAAATGCAAAGTCTTTGCAAAGACCTTGCACATGCAAAAATGTTAAATCTTATAGCTGCTAAGCTGAAAACCTGACATGAGAAGGAGCTACGCAAGTTGTAAGGAGAAGAAATAAAAAGAAAGAAAAAGCACGTGACAAAAAATGACAAAGCGAATGGCACAGAAAGCTGAGCCCGAGCAGCGGGGCTCGGAGTTAAACACCTGCGCGATGGGGACCAGCCACTGAGGACCAGGACCAGGCCCCCCACAAGCTTCAGCTCTCTGTACCCTTCCCTGTCTCCCTGCAACATCCACCTCTGGACATCCTCAAACATCTGGAGATCATCCGTGGATGGGCACGCAATCCCTTCTTCAATTAACGCTGGTGCGGTGTCCCCTCCTTGCGCAGCAGCACAAACAGCCCAGGTACTGATTAGTTATTCTGCCTAAGAGATCGTTGTCTTTGTTGCTCTGCTTGCCAAATTAGCTACTGCTTACAATGCCAAGAGCAAAGACTGATTTACAGCATTTTTAACAGCCTCTGGGAGAGGATGCCTTCCTAAACTGAAGATTTTCCTAGCAAGGAATTTATTGCAGGAACGTAGCTAATAATTACCCTACCATGTACACAAGTTGATTATTTCAAGGCTGTCTTTATCTGATCTTTCACCTGCTAGAATAAAATAATCCCTCCACACATCTCATGAATATCTGAAGGATGGATCATCCGTGAGAAGCCACCGGCATAAAGCAAATAACTGTCTGGGAGTTCTTTATAGGAAGATTTTCCTCTGGGACAGGCTCCTCATCTGAAGTTATGCATGTCCATCACTCATCACCACACTGTTCTCTAGTCATTTTCTAGGTGTGCAAATAACAGGTTTTATACGGCTATAAAAATAAGACAGTCAGCTAAGATCTCTTTCATCTGCTTTTTCTTGCTGAGAATTTGTTTTCCAGTGCATGTAACCAGAAGTGTATATTGTAGGCTTTATTCCTGGTACCTGCTCAATGTGATCACACACTCCTGTAGACGTTATAAAGTCCATCACTCTTTAGCAGAGCTAGAAAGTAGAATGAGAAGCCAAACAGTAGAGTGACCTAAGAAACCCAAAACTTGTGTGTTGAAGATGATGAGAAAACTTAAATCTGATGAAATACGTAAATCTGGCACATTGGTTGCTTTGTTTTTACAGAAGTAAGAAGCATTTAAAGTTCCCTTTTTTTTTTTTTTTTGTTCCTTGTTATGAACTGGTGAGCAATCTCTTCATAAAATGGTTGCTAATGGGAAAGAAAGGAAAAAGAAGAAACATTCCTGAGTGTCTTTTCCCCAGGTGTGCGGGAATCCACAAATGTATTTCAGCTTATTGACTAATGCGTGTACTGCAGACCATCTATTGTCACTTACTTTACTCTAGTTCATAATGCACTGTTAAGTACAATGCCTCTCCAGTCATAATCGCAGTTTAAAAGGACAGAAATTTTATATTTCTCAGGGATCTTGTTGGCTTTTTATAGTCTAAGCAACCCATATCGAAACAGTTTTGAGCGTCCTCTAGCCACATCTGGAATACTAAAAGTGGAAGCTATTATCTGCAGGAGCCAACAGCCTGTTTCACTTTCACTTCTCATTTCAGTATTGTCTAATTCCAGTTCAGCATCCCAGCCTTTACAAGGGGTGTATTTGGTCTCAGTCTGAGCTCATTTATACTTGCTTTAACGCCAACTTATGTGCTGCTACTTCAGGCTCTACAGTTACTGGTGGTCAGCAATGGATATGAATGTAGCAACAATGGTATTAGGAGCAATCAGGCTGATTATACCTTCCAATCTGAATAAAAGTTTCAAAATTCCCAAACAGCACATACACAATATATTTAACCCACTGAATGTTCCAAATTATTTGCAAAAATTAAAGCAAAACCTGTATCACAAAACAAACAAACAAACAGTTTAAAAATTTATTATTTTAAGTTTGGGGTAGAAATCACTGGTAGGACAAAATATTAGCTCAATAAAGGATTTACCTGACCCTGTTTTTCAGGAAAATGAAGCTCAGAAAAGCCTTCAACATGCCTCCGTTTACACCCCTTCCACATTAACGGCTCCATAAGGAGATGATAGCTATTAATGAGTACATTGAAACTTCACTGGGCTCTCGTAAAAGCATGCTAAGAAGAAGCGTGGGCTCTGCTGAGCTGTTTCTTGGCCCAGGGAGGGGGGCAGTCCCTGCCCGACCCCAGCCACTCGATGGTGCCTCGCAGAGATCAAGCTGAAGCACCAGACCCGTGATGAGCCCGGCCCAAAAAATCAAAGCAGAGAGGGTTACATTCTTCCCACCACAGCCAGCTCCGCCACTTTATTTGTATTTATAGCTGGCTTCTCCACCATCTGTGCATGCTGGCCCTCCCTTCATCTCAGAGGAACTGGAGTGGCATTGTTTGAAGATCTGATTAAATAGCCAGAAAAAAGTAATCCATCATTTAAAAAGGGAAATGGAGACAGTTTACAATGGTGTCCTGTAGCTCTTTAGGATTTTCTTTTCATTTTCTTCTATTTTAATTTTAATCCAATGCCAAACACAATAAACACCAACACAGAGCATAAAATTTTCTGACAGCATTTCACTTGCAATGACTAGCTAGGAGCAGCAACGAGTTATCCATTTTCCCCTAGGATGATCCGAGCACCAGATTAAACGCCACTACAGTAGGAGATGTCCTGTTTCCTTCAGGTGTTCATGCATGTAAATATAATTCAAGTGCACAAACTGAATGTGAGATTTAGCCTACAAGAAAGCGGAAAGAAAACAAACAAAAAGCAAAGGCGAAAAAACTGCGCGTCTCCCAACAGTGGGATCTGATGTGGTGCAGGTTGTTTCTCAGCGGGATGATGATCCCAGCCAGCCTTCCTCAATATCACATAGACATTTCTTCTATCAGGGAAATCTAGTTTGCAAGTGCCTTCTCATTTTCACATTTGTCCCTCGGGGAAGGTAACCTCATCATCACCTCTGGTGACTGCACAGAGGGAAATGCTCACCTGGAGGGATCCTGCACTGCACCATGTGGCGGGCACGTATGAAAGTGGGAACCCACAGAAATATCTGCCTCTTGATCCCAATACCCAACCACCATGCTCGGTTAGACAATTAGCCCTGTGGAGCTGGGCAAGGAGGGAGCTGGGGCTGGAGGGTCACACTAGCAGGAGGAGGATAAGACTAACGACTCCACGAACATTACATTTCTTCTCTGTTTAATCCCCTCCCAGATCTCCCACTAAGCTGCACAGTTTCATGGCTGCAAAAGTGTCTATGGCACGAGCGTCTAGGGGAAAGGGAAAGAGGGACTGAGAGGTCTTTGACAATTCCCCAGTAGCTACTTGCTCAAAGCTCCACTTGTTTCCAGGCACTGGAGAGAAAAGAAAGAGAACATCTTCCTTATGAAGGAGGTGCTTCACAAGGGAGAAGGACTAAGAGGGAGGTGAGCTTCAAACATGTGCAAAATCCATGTTCAGCCATTCGTTTGGGACCAAAACAGAAAACGGAGGGAGAAACCTTAGGCCCGGTCCCATCTTAATTTGCTTTAAGTATTGCATAGACAGGACTTTCTAAACTGGGAAGCTGTGGCTTCCGGGGATGTTTCCTCCTCACTTACATCTACAAGTTGATCTCAGCTATGGCCAGGTGGTACTGCCACCTCCCTCCGCACTGCCTACAGCCACTCTGGACAACAGTGCTCATAACACGACAGCTGACAGGACTGAACTCTGATGGATCTCAGCAAACATCCCTGCTCAGTGTTCAGACAGGAGTCCTTAAGAGTCAGACTACTGCAGACAACAAGAACATGGACCATGGCCATACCTATTTCTCTATTTCCAGAAGGCCAGATTTTTGGCAAAGCTTTAAAACTTCACACTGATGCTGTGTGGAAACTTTTCAAAGGGTTCCCCCCAAAAATCTATGGTACAAGCTATCAGGCTGGTTAATTGACCTCAGTAAGGCTGTCTCAACTGAATATTTATGGGCTACCAAGATTTTGCTCTTCCCAGTCCAAATCAGAGAACCAACAATGCTTCAGCATTTTCTCTTGTTCTCAGTTTACTGCTGTAATCCATGAGAAATAGCAAGTGTAGCCTGCAGCCTAGTGCAGGTCATTAATCATTTATAACCCAGAAACTTCGAAAGGCTTTTATCCATGTTTTACATATCATCTAGCTCAAGATGAAGACATTTTTCTGTTACTTAAAAACCCATAAAGCGGTAAACACTTATGCGGCTGCACAGTGCAGTCCATAAAATCAAACAAATCAAACACCTATTAATTTCAGAGCAAGAAAAAAAAAAAAAAAATCATCCTTCCAGCATGTAGACACAAACTTTCTGATCTCAATGGCTGGCTGTACTTGATATCCCACTGCCAAACTGTTCTTTTTCTTCCTCTCTTTTTCTTCTCTCCCCTTTCCACAAGACAAATGTTCTACACCAGCTTAATGAAGAACTATGTACAATATAATTCTCTATTGCTTATAGACTACTTTATTCCACCACCTCACTCATTTGTGGTCACTTTTTCATATTTCAGCAGGATAGACTCCACCAGTAGATAGTAAGACATTGCTGTTGGTTTTTCATGAAGGTTTAGTTGGCCTCCAGAGTAATTTCTAGGACAAGGCCAGTGTTTTTAATTGCCCCAGTGAACAAAATGCCTCAAACTATCTGATAGCCCGGACGCGCTTTTAACTACAGCCAGCCAGCTGGATAAGTAAGAAGGAGTAAAGAATAGTAGCTGCTCATTTGGGATTTTTATGTTAATAGTATTAATTACATCTACAATTCTGTATGTCCTTTGCATCTTACCAGGCTCTGGGATGATTAGCTGTGCACTGGCCTGTGCATTTCCAGCTTCATTTTCAGCTACACACTGATAAAAACCTTCATCTGACTTTACCAAGCCCAGAATCCGTAAGTTGCTGCCACCCTAGAGAGACAGCAAAAGAGAAAGAAAGGAAGTGGAGAGAATTAATTAGAAAAACACCATTCAAAGTGAATGCGGATTATAAAATCATTCCAGAACAGCTATTCTGTGAAACATAGCACTGTGTACGTAATCTCAGCTCCAGTTCACAGAGCCCTGGTCCTTAGAGGGATGTAATCGTAAGCACTCGCATCAGGAATCTCTTGACACCTTGCGGTCTTTGCATTTTGTTTGATGGTGCCTACGGCCAAAGGGTGAATTCACTTCCCTGCACAGAGTCCATCCAACACCACCTCAAGACTTAAACTCCAAATTACATTCATCACTCGATCAGGGCTCTGAATTTTGTCTTGGCCCTTTGCTGCAGGGGAGATGTAAGAGAACTTTCAACTCTGCAACTTTGAACAGATACTGTTCTGAAGGTCAAACCCTCCTTATGGCTTGAGGCCTGGAGATCCTCAAGAAAAGGTCATTCTATGACTACTTCATTTGAAACAGATTTAACTTCTAACTTCTGTTACCACAAAGCAGAAACTAATTAAGCTGGGTAAAATATCTCAAGTGAGGGGCATGCTATGGCTGAAATATACCCTCCGTTAACTAAAAAGTGAAATGATTTTCCACCACAGAGCCGTAACAGCAATAGAGATGTCTTTTCTTTGGACAGCTTCTGGCTGCTTTCTAATAAGAAATGATATACAAAAAAAGGTTGAATTTACTATTGTATATAGTGGAATAAGTCTATCTTGTATGAAAACCACATTAGAAAGAACCTTTTTTTTTTGTGCAATAGGTAATTAAAAGATATGATCATAATTAATATAATTTGTTACAAGATAAAAAATTAGAACATGCTGAACTAAGCCACACCTCGTGGCCTATGGACATCTTCACAGTGGCTGAAGTTTTCAGGGGTGGTCCCAATGCCTCAGCTCACTTACAAGTGAGACCACTTTCATGAGAAACCAGCTAGATCAACCCTCTCAGAAAACAAAACATAAATTCATAGCCTATATAATAGTGACATTTAAGTTTAAAGAGATGGGATTCCTGGATGGGGATGTTACTTTGGGTAGCGTGCACAACAGTTCTCTTTTAAAAGTTGAAATTATATCAAATGACCCTTATCATTCTTAACCACCTGTATCTGAGTACTATTTCCTTGGAGATCTATTATTGTTGTTCAGAAACAGCAGTGGTGAGTAAGGGAAGTCACTAACACATGGTGAACAATATTATTAACAGCAACTCAGAGTCAAACCTAACACCGTTACTTCTCCATGAAAAGACCTCATTCAGTTATCACTAAAACTAGGAGACAATGTCAAGGTACTTGACCTAACACATCTCAATGCAATGTTCTTTATTGGTATTAGAAAACAAAATTTCTTCCACATCTTTTGGGAAGACCAGTATGTTTACAAAGGCAATGACTGGATCAAATACCAGAACACATTTCACAATTTAGTTTAAGAAAGAAAAAAAAAAAAAAAACGAACAATTTCCATAAGTAAAAGCCAGATATTTACCACTATCTGAAAATAGTCGCTAGGTATGACCACTTCTCCATTCTTGATCCATTCCACTGTAGGAACAGGCTTACCAGACACAGCACATTCGAACTCAATATCCATACTCTCGTAGGCATAAAGATTTGAAGGGCGAATTAAAAACCATGGTGGAACTGCAAAAAAAGATGGGGAAAAAATGAAAGTGGCAATGAGTAGATATAAATTAAGGCTTAGCAAGTAAATAATTTCAATGAACTTGAAGAATATTAGACATAAATAGAAAACATATCTGTAATTCAAATTATTCTCTTTAACCCTGGGCCTATTAAAAATTAAATACTAGGGAAAGCATTTATTTTAGAAAATACACGTCAATAGTTGATATTAACTTTTTTTCTGCCAAATTAAAGAATTAAAGCCTCAATTTAGGAGATATATAAGATTTATGTATAACAAAATATATACATATAAATCTCACCAAGTGAGTATGGGGGTAATAAAATCTCATTCATTTCGAAGGATCAGATGCCAACTGCATACATAACAAGGTCCCATAAGTCAGCATATGGACAGGCACATACAGGTACAAGCTAGAAGTATTTAGAGTAGAGACATTTTCATATAATCAAAGAGGTCTTTTGACTGGGTTTATAGAAGATGAGCAGATAATCAATAACTAGGAAGTATTCCCTTAGTGATTGGAAGAAGAAAAATGTTGAATTATCTTTGCTGAAAATGAATTCTTATTAAGCTAGCAATTATCTGTTGCCTTGTATTACTATAATGTATTCATAGTTTTTCAGTATGCTATATGATATGCTAATTTAATATCATCATTATTGTAATACTAGGATTATGGAAATAAGCAATTTGAGGAAAACAGTTAATAACATCAAATTTTTAATGAGCCCCACCCCGCATTGTATTGAAAAAACACATGCAAGACCTCAGCAGCCCATGTACATTTTGTCACAATTTTTGTAGGGGAACAACAGTCTCCATTTTGAATATCCATAGCTGCCAGGAAGCCAGAATAGATTAATTTCTAAGTACCATTCATGACTTATCATTTCAGACAGAAAATCCAATTGTATTTCTTGAGCCATCATTCCCAATGTCTGATTATAATATTTATAAAGCCATAATATTTAAAAAAACGCCTCTAAATTAAAAGAAGGTGAAGATTATAAAATAAATTGCACAGAAACTAAGAAATGTTAGAACTGAGGCCGCCCTCACATCCCTCACTGAGACCCCAGGTTTACAAGGATTACAGCTTATTCTTCAATTACCCCATCAAATGCTGTTTCTTTGCAGCCTCCCTCAGCACTGCAGGAGGACCCCGCTCGCCAAAAGAAAAGCAATTCAGGATTTTATTTCAAGCTTCCTATTTAGAACATGGCTTCATGCTTTCTAGTTTCAAAACTCTTCTCTGCAAACAAAATTCTTAATTTCCCAGTGGGGTTTTTTATCTCATTCCTACTTCTACAACACCTGCACGATCCACAAATGTTTTTAAACTCATAGGAGTTGGAGTCTAAGACGTGCTACGAGCCAAGCTATCAGTGAAGGGGCAAAAGTAGCTCCCTCTTTTTCTTGTCCAGTTAGGTATGATTTAGAGCAGGCTCTATTATACAATACTCAGTATACTAATGTGGGGGTTTTGCACATCAAACCAAAAAGTCTCACTGGGGATGCAGAAAATGAGGAAAACTGTTGCAACATATGAATGTGTGGCGTAAGTGACCAAACCCGTGTCCGGTAGGAATACTATGGCAGATGTATGGATACAATTGTGCTCTTCAGGGTTTGCATTTCATCACCTTAAATGCAAAACTCCCTTTTTTTTTTTTTGCCTCATTGACAAGAGAGTTTCCAGCTTTGGTAATAAATGAAGGCAGAGTCCTAGACATCATCATGTCTTCAATCACACACTCCCAATTAATCCTGAGTGCTCTCCAAACTTGTGTGCACAATGCGGTAGAGATACTTTTAAGAAAAAGAGAATATTTTATTTAAAAACTGCATATAATGCATAAAACCAAGCAGATCAAAGTAACACTGAAAAGTTTTTATGTCAGCGTTTTCTTGGGTTTTAGCAATTGTTTCTGCTTTTGAGCTGAGTTACCTACACTTCAGTAAGCATCAGCCCCAGGCCCCTCCAGCCCTGCTCCCGTGCCCCATCTTCTCTATTCCTCTTGCAGATTGGTCTCTTGTTTGCCATATATTTAATAATTTAGGATACCTAGAAGCTCCTGATCCAGTTCAAATCAAACCCAATGCGTGCAAATTAAAACTGATGAGGTGTCCTGATTAACTTAGCTGCTTAATTTCCTATCGAAAAGGCTCAGATGGCTTGGATCAGAAACGCTCCAGGCTGGGCTCTTCATGCTCTGTGGCCAGACAGACGTTATATCAGGGTCTCCAGACCACACAAAAGGAAATTTTGTAGATTATTTTTCAGATAAAACAGCACTCATAAGGGAACATTGGTAACTAGGCCACTGATCAAGAGGGTTTTAAAAAAACAGTATTGCTTACAGTAGAGATACAAAAAAAGAGACAATTTAGTGGCCAAGTTATGAAGAATCAGCATTGAAAGTATGGCTGAAGGAAAAGGAGACAAGCTGTTTGGTTAAGAAGAACCCAAAGGAAAAAAAAATAAGATGGAATCACATTCATATGTTAATTTTTATTTTTTTTTTTTACACTAGAGTCCTAGTATAATTTGTTCAACAAACTCACATAAAAACACCAGTATCTCTGCAGTTTATAAACCACATAATTTTTCAGAGCTCTGACAAAATCATAAACTACTCAATCTTCATTAGTGTGCTTTATTGCAATGTCACCAGAAGCCTGCAATTAATTTATAGACTTGTAATTCACAGATTCCCGCCATTTATTCTTTACGACGCACACACTCCAGGGTCCTGACCCCACCTGCCTGCAGATTTTCATTCCCTCCACCAGAACTGTTGCTCCTTTCCCCTCATGCTCCTCTGCCTTTTTTTTTTTTTTTTTTTTCCCTCTAATTGCTCGTATTCTTCTAGTCTGCTAGAAAGCTCGATTCTTTCTTTTTATGTTTTATGTTCAGTATATGCATATCTGGGTGTTGAATTTCATACAAAATCGATCTGTTTAACAATTATAACACACCAGCACCTTTCCAACAGTGGGGTAGGTGTGCCCTGTATTTTTCTTAAGGACACCATTAAAGTGAGTAATTTACACCAATACTTTGGTGGAAATTATGTGGTATTAAACACAGGTAAGACACCACAAATAAGGACAATGTAACACCCTAAAGGGACAGATGCAACACATTTAGATTAGAAATATGTATGTATGTATATATATATATAAAAAATGTCAAGCACTATAAATATACATTCTATAAATATTGTATATATCAATAAATGTCAAGCACTGCCATATTTGCTCTGCATGTGTTTTTTCTCAGTACTGAATATTTTAAAGGCATGCATATATAAAGAAGGCTGGTGAGGTGGTTTTCAAAGGAAATAAAAATGTATGCTGTTTTCATGTTCCTTCCATTTATACTGTGGCAATATAAAAAAAGCTTGAACAAACTGCAGACTTTTTTTTTTTTTTTTTTTTCTTTAGAAAATGTCTGTGAATTGTTAGAAAGTGGGAGTTTAGTGAGATTTTTCCAGAACACCCTTGCACTATAGGATGCTTATATTCTACTTTGCCCTCGCTCTGGGTGAAAGCCTTAAAATTCTATTTTCAGACTAAAATAATTTAAAATAACATCTCAGAAGGTTACGCTTATTCCCTGTCAGGATGAAAATAATTTCCTAAGCACTCATTTTCATTATTCCATGTCAACCCTATCAAAATGCCCTGATTGTAGACAGAGAATATTTTATGCTATATACTATATCAAAAAAAAAAAAAAAAAAAAAAACAAACAAGGAAAAAACCTAAAAGGTTAACTGACACCTGTAAAAATAGATGTCCATGAGATTTGGGGTTTAACAGAATTCATATCAGCAAGAGGTACCAAAGCCCTCACTAAGCATGTTTGGATAAAGGATTAAGACAGGCCCCCATGTGCCACCCCACTGACTCAGGAGGATTTTTGTTTGTGTGAATGGTGTAACTTAAATGAAATACGGGATAGGATCCATTTTGCAGCTAGGCAGTGTTGCGTAAATGTGTATGCAAAAGTTTAAAGTTCCCTGTACTACAGCAGATGCACTTGGTGGGTGCTCAGTGACCAAGGCTGTCCCCCAGCAGACAGCACATTGTACGTGGGATCGCGAGCTCCAGGATTCAAAATGCAATAACTTATCTGTGTGCCAGAGGATCCCCGACAACTCTGCGAGAGGCAGAGTGCTTTGTTTTCCATTGCAAGGAAAAAAGTAAATTTGAAAATTAAACTTAATGTGTATACTCCTGTGAAGATCACGCTACAGCCCTGACCTTCACCTGCCTGAAGGTCCCTCAGATGAAGAACATGCTCTGAGTCTGCCCTGTTTTCAGGTCACTACTGAATCAGGTTGTCATTCCACATGGTCTTTTAAATAACTTATAAGAATAAGGCAGTGTGGCAATCCTGTGATGCCACGGAAAGCAGTTGCGGGTCTGGGTCTCGGGTCTCAAACACCGGTTTCAAATAAATGGGCTTCTCCCTTTCAGGACCACAGCAGGCTGCATTTATTACCAAAAATGTCAAAGATTGGTTGTAATGAGACTCGGGGACTAATCGAACACCTGCCAGCAGAAACAGCTAGTTTAGAGATCTATGTGTTGGGATGACCTCCCTATTTCTAGAAATACCTTTTGTGAGATGACAGCTGATCTTGCGACAAGAAGAAACAATTTTAACTCAGAGAAATGTCAGCATTTCCTAATGCAAAGTGTCTTCTCTTTGCATGTTTGAATAAGGAATGTGTTTCTACTGACCCAAGAAAGATAACTGCTGTCAGCAAGTGCCCAACCCTGTCAGCCTTCAGAATGGGAAGACTTTCAACTGCGTGTACTGAAAGGGTGGCTTTGTCATCTCATAGATTCAAATACTTTCTCTTTTTAAAAAATCCCTTGTACTTTTCACCGCTAACTTGCGCAAACTGTGAATTTAAAATAGTTACATCAAGCCAATGTGCCAGGTTGTGCCTGCCTTATGGGGGGTCAGCACAGTCTAATT